CCTTATAATAAAGGGGAAATTTGGATGCAGAAGTAGGCATGCATTCAAAAAGAACATCATGCAAAGATGAAGTCAGACACCAAGGTCATGCATTTAAAAACCAACGAACAGCAAAGAAGTTCGTTGGTTTTTAGAACCTACACGGAGCTGGAAAGAGGCACAGAACAGACTCCCTAGCAGCCCTCAGGAGGAACCAACCCAGCCAACACCTTGATTTTTAGCTCCCCCACAGTGAGACAATGAATTTTTGTTGTTTAAATGACCAGGTTTGTAGTACTTGGTTACAGTCACCCTAGCAAACCAATATACTGGCTTATACATTTGTCCCCCTATATTTTCCTCCCCCTCTTAACTCCTTCCCCAACTTGATTCAGTTCTGCAGGTGAGAAACAAGATTTTCTCTCTTTGCTGTTCCTTCTTCATTTGGTTTTAAAAGTGTTTAGCCCTGATGTTACAAAGGCCAGGCACAGGGCTAGGATCATCACTGCTTTTACAATCATCAATCACACTTCACATTCTCTCTGACCACAAGAGAGGATAGAGAAGAGGTTAAAAGAGAGACCGATTTTAGAAGAACAGATCGGAGCTGTCTGGAAAGGACAAGATCATAAGTAGTGAGAGCCATATCACTAAAGGTATCCAAGCACCGGGAAGCTGAAGGAAATTCTGCTTAGGGTCGGTTCTACACTGAAAAATAGCTTTGCTGTTTATAATCTTCCAGGGACTAGTCTACTGACCGGTACTTTGGGATTCCAGTGAGACAGAATCTGGGATCCATGTCTCTCTCCTCTATGTGGGGGAGATTGTATGGGAGAGGGGCGGGTGTGTTTTGTGCAAGGGTTTGGTACCCAGTGCCAATTGCACTTCACCAAATAAGTCTCGCTCGGCCTTTGTCAGCGCTCAGTCTGCCTGTGAATCTGTCTGGAATCCATTCCCCACAGTGCCATCTGTTCATGATTGTCCTACCATCTGACCATTTACCCTTTGTTAACTCTCCTTCTCTGGGCACCCCCACTGCCAGTTGGAGTCCACCCATTGTCCAACCTGGAAAAACTGAGTCTGAAGAGAGACAGGACAGGAAAGGGGGGTGGGGACATTCCAGCAGGCTGGCATTGGAGATGGAGATACATCTGGGGGTGGGGGTGCTGTTGTGCCTTTGCACAGAACCTGGGGAGAGAGCATGCGGCCAAGTCAGAGCCATATTGTACCCAGGCAGTCTGATGGCTTCACAAATAATATTGATGGCTTTTGTTTGGAAACTTTTGTGAAGGTTTCCCATTTCCCAACAAACCACGCTAAATGCTGGGCCTCCCCCAAGCCACTTGCCTTTTGCATGGTCCCCGTGGCCAACTGTGCAGGCAGATGAGGCCCCTCAATGCTAATGAGGGGAATGGCTGGCATTCCGGAGGCACCCAGGCTCTGGGCACCCCGCCTTTGTTGCTAAGGAGCCTTGGAACTGTAGCTGAAAGGCTCTTACAAGAGGGGGAGTGAGGAGAGAGAGAGAAGAAAGACATGCATTTGTTTTCAGAGCCTCACAGTTCTCAGGCCAAATCCAAAGCTGTCCAATTTCTGATCCCAATTAGAATACCAACCCCCTGCTATTGTTTCTCTTAATGATCTTGGGAAATTCCTCTGAAGAGTCAGCAGCGAGCACTTAGCAAACTCTTTGGACTGTGCCATCTCTACCGAGGTGCTTCTGGTTACATGAATAGATCACCAAAGCATTCTGAAGGCATCTTTTATTCCAGCAACCAGATGTGGCACAGGAGCTGGGAGAATTGGAAGAGGACAGAAAGGTAGCGGGGTTTTCAAAACGTTCCTGTGGGAACTCCATTCAACAGGCGTTTACCAGGTGTGCTCTTGGTGCAGAATCCAGGTTCTATGCTGATGACTGATGGAGCTTGTATTTACCTCCAGACTTGTGGGAGAGATATAGATCATACTAATGAGAATTTTGTGGGTTATTTGCTTTAACTGCGACCTTCATGGTGGTGTTGGACTCTGAGTCCTATACAGCTGGGTTTTAATCTTGGCTCAGTCACTCACTAGCCATTAAACCACATCTGTTACGGTGAACCTCAGTTTCTCATCTGTACAATGGACAGAGTAGCACCAACCTAGTTTGTTTACTATGAGGAGTAAGTGCAGGTGGGAGAATGAAGAACAGGAATGTGGGAACTCTCTGATCTCTGGGACCCCACAGTCAATGAGCTATATGTTGGTTGGAAGGTGTGTCTGTACCCGGAAAATACACTTAATGATTTGGCACATTGAATGGGGTAAAGTGAAATACCATGTAAGAATAAAATACACTAGACTGTCACTATGGGCATGTCCATGTGCCAGTTACAGTGCTAGGCAATTTGCATGCATTATCTCATTTGATATGAATGGTGCTCTTGGGTAGTTAGTGAATTGCTCAGGGTTACACAGTGGGAGAGTCTGCCTACCTGTGAGTTCATTTCTCTGTCTTCTTTCTGTGCTTTTTCCATCTTTAAAGGCTGAGGCTCTTGGAAGATTAATTCACACACAGTTCATTCTGTGTCTCTCCAGGGCCTGCTGTAGGTTAGCAAGGCCACTACATGCAAAGCTCTATTTGGAAAAGTTCTGCCAGAGGAGGCTGATGAAGCTCCAAGATTCCAGACTTTCCTTTCCAGCATTTATTAGAAGCTCACAATGACACAGCCATGGGGAGTATACAAAGTTCCACTTATCTGAGAAACAAAAGATATAATAATGGATTTTTCATAAGCAAACCCACAAAGTCCCAGCATAGAAGTCACAGTGACTAAAGCATAATGACTTTATAACATGCTCCTGTTTGGGACAGTGGTTTGCTTCATAGCCAGGCCTCATGTAACCTCAGTTGTCACATTGTCCCTTGATAGCTCCAGTTTTCTCTGTGACTTAAATAATTTTGGTTCTTTTAATGTTTACTCAGAGGAGAAAGGAATGAGTATGTACTTTAGCAATGTGTAAGTCTTGCAAATGTGCATGCACACACCCATTGACAAAGATTTTCTTCTTGACTAAAGTCTAATCACCTTACTTCCCCCTAGTGGGGTCTGATCATCCTGGCCTGGCTTCAGCAGATATCCTGTCAGGTAGTTTTAATTGGAATCCCCTCTCACAACTGATGCTTCATCTTAGTAATTTTCCATACAACAATTCCTGTGCCCTGCTTCTCATGTCTATAGATTTTCACTTTTCTTTGTTTTATTTGGAATTGAGCCCAGTATTTCTTCCCTATTGTAGACGCTGTTGCAGTAGTTCCTATACCTATTGTGATAGTTCTGAATAAAAGCTGATTTACCATTTTCACAAGTGTCAGAATGTGTTTTGCTTAACTCACGCACACACATACACCCGCACACACACATGGGGATAAAGCAGTGGAGAATTCTAGACAGGAGATGATTCAAAAGCAATTGTCACTTGGAAATAGAAGGACAGGATACATCTCAAAACGTGTTTTTGCAATAGTAGTGGTCTGGTCTCTCTAGGACTTTTCACACAGACAATTGTTCAAAGTTTTTTGAACCTTCCTGAATGTTCAGCCACTAAAGAAAGGTACATCCAGGGTCTGGGAGTATAAGTCAATGATAGAGTAACACACACGCATACACAAAAGAAAAGAATGGCATGTCTACACTATAAGGCTAAAAAAAAAAAAAAAAGAAATGATGGTAGAATATGATGAACATCATGATCCAAAGTACATGTATGAAGACACAAATTGGTGTAAATATACTTTGGGTTTTTGAAAATATTTATGTATTTATTTTTGCATTACAATTCTTAATACACCATTATATTATAGTTTATCATAACTCTGATTATATATAAGGTATGTTGACACCAAATTCACATCTTCATACATGTATTTTGTATAGTAATGAGGGTCTCCTTTCACAATCCATGCTAAATATACTTTGTATACAACCAGAGATATGAAAAATCTATGCTGTATATGTGTAATATGAGTTGTAATGCATTCTGATGTCATATATACATTAAAAAATAATTAAAAATAAATAAACAAATACACACACACAAAAAAAAATACAAGGAAGTGTCCAAATGGCATTGCTTTCAGTGTTTATAATCCTCCTGAGAACAGGGGTTAACAAATCCCTTTTTATAGATGAAGAAGCTAAAGTTCAGGGAGACCAGTAACTTGCTGAGGCTTCTAGCTCCTAAGTGCAAAGTGCAGGATATGGGCTGTTATCAGGCCTATTTTTTTTTTTCTGTTTGCTGTAGAAGTACAGCTGGCAATGGGTCACTTGAGGATCACAGTCTGGCCATGGCTGTCCAGCTTATAGAAATAGTCATTTAGCCCTCACTTTGGGATTACAGGTTATCAAATGTAGTCAGAGCTTGTGCTGCATTCCATGTAAGTGGAATGCCCTCCATTTGTGCAGCTCGGTGGTGCTGAGGCCAAATAGCAGCAACTGTATTTATGTTGGACATAAAGAACTGGGCAGGGTAAAATCACCGCTTTTGAGGACCTTCTGAGTTAGTCTAATAACTCTGATTTCATGTTTAGGGCCTCCCTTGACTCCGACTGCCTGTCCAGCCCACTTGCCTCGGACATGAAGCTGGTACCAAGTCATGCTTAGGTTGCCCTCTCCCGGTGCTCCCCAGGCTCTCTTCCTCTGCAGACTATTAACTGGCACAATTAAACAGCTTTCTTACCTTTCTCTTCTCTGGGTCTCTGTTTCCTCATCAGTGAAATGAGGCTGTAAAATCAGTCTTACTGAGTTGTCAGAATTGGAGGAAACAAAATACATCAAGTTCCTGGCACACGGTAGTTGCCCAGTGTATATTACATTGCTTGACCTAGTATTCTAATTTTTCTCACTTGGCATTTTTGTAGAATGTGAAAGTCATGTCTGTTTACTTACTCTTCTGACCTAAAAACAGTGAGCAGGTCCAAGGATTCTAGAATGATAGGGAAGCGACCAATGCATCTCAAGAGACATTTTAATGGACAATGCAAGGATTATAAAAACTAAAGCATTTATTTTAGTGAGTTCAAATGGTTTTGCTCTTGAAATTTTGTTTGTAGATTGCTCATGACACCACTATTTAAAATGGATAAAGGGGGAAGTTCAGAGACTTTTCTGTTTGATTTTCTCCTTGACTTAACTAGTCCTCCTCTCTCCCATATTGACTTGAAGATCAGTATCCGGGTCCCACTGAGTTAGTGATGAGCTGATGCAACTTGTTTTTGAAGTCTCAAGTTGGTGTTCCTTCAACAACCCCTAGCTACCTGTGTGTGATGTGGGTTACATGGGTGGGGGATAGTTCTGGGGAATGTTTAGGATAGAACTATGGGAACTGGTAGAATGTTTCACCTGGTTTTCCTGACTCAGGAGAGCAGAAGAGGTTACCTATTCTCAGAATTCTTTGTCTCAGGAGTCCTTTCTCAACCCTTCTAACCATGATTCTTGGAAATATCCCTAGAGACGACCTTATATTATCTAGTTTTGCACTGTAGAAGATACTGTGCTTGTTCAGAAAGCCTTGCTTGAAGTTATTCTTCTGCTTAGTATTAAGATAATGTTAGTATGTTCTTCTTAGAATAGCTTCTAGGGTAGGGCATATTTATCCATGCAAAAAATGATGTACTTATGTCTACTATGCACCAGGTGCTTCAGGGAATCAATTACGTCTGGCATGTATTTTTTGCTATACGGAGCAGTGAGGTTTGCAAAAACAGTTCGATGAGCAATGTCGAAAAAATATCATACATGTCATATTAATAAGTTTTATTATATGAGCATCTTAAGTAGTTGGGTTCTTGCCACATCAGAACAGAAAACCTGGTTTTCTCTGATCATGCAGAGCTGCATGTGAGCAAGCATCAAAACCAGAATCCAAGAGCTGGTCAAAAGCATCTACCATAGCTGTAATGGCCTCAACTCCTAGAAAGCCTCTACCACTGCTCTCAGGCTGGGGAGAAAGATGTGTCTGGGTAAGAAGGGAGATAAGAGAAACATCTGTTCACACAATATGGGCTTGTTATCATAGCTCCTTTAAGTACCGCAGTGCTGGCTCCAAGAGCATATTTTCTCCAGAACGGAATCTCCGCAAGGCCTGGTCGATTTTCCGAGGGCTCAGGGACAGGTTGTAAATGAGATTGTAGTTGTGAATGAGGCGTCTGGCTCTTTCCTTCTCCAGAACTCCTGTGATTGGATTGGATGGGTGGAGGTTTTTTAAAAGAGGAAGAGGAGAACAGAGAAAGATATACATTAACTTGAATAACTTGTAGGTAGACACTAAATGCTAGTATTTTGAAACCGTAAGCCTCTTAAAAATCAAGTGACATCTTAAAAACTATTTATATTCCTGGATATGCATGGGTACTGTTCTTGGGAACAGAGAGGACTAGAGAAATGATGTTACCTCTGGAAACTTCCTGATCTGGAAGACAAGTTACGCAGACAGTAAACATCATGACTGATATTTATATATAGAACTTTCTGGGTTCCAAGCACTGTTCCAAACAGTTTTTTCCAATATTGACTCATTGAAACCTCACAACCACCCATTTCACAAAGGGTAAAACTGAGGCCTAGAGTGACAAAGTCACTTGCCTAAGGTTGCTCAAGGTTAACCACTACACTACACTATGGAACGAGAGAGAAGAGATTGCTTCCTAAATACATTCCTTGAACTGTGAAGATTTATGATACAAGTGTTAATGAAAAGATTTTAAATACCTTTTATAGGAATGAAAAGTACATCCGTTGCATGTTTCTCTTCTATTCCCTTTACCTGTACAGACTGTTAGGAGCGATTGCAAAATTCTTCCTCAAACAATCCAGAGGCAGTGCCTTGGTCACTTTGTAGCAAGGCATTGTTAGCCCAGTTGAAGTGGGCAGTGGTGATGGCTGTCATCCCAATTTAAGTTACCAAGTACTCTTCATATTTTTATGTGCCAGGACTGCTGGGCTTAAACCTCCCCTGTCAATTACTCACAGGGGTTATTTCTTTCTTTTACTTGTAGTACTAGGGGGTGGAACCCAGGGCCTTGGGCCTGCTAGGCAAGTGCTTACCACTGAGCTGCATCCCCAACCCTTTTTTATTTTTATTTTATGACAGGGTCTGGCTGAGTTGCCATAGTTGGACTCAAAGTTGTGATCCTCCTGCCTCTATGTCCCAAGTAGCTAGGATTACAGGCATATGTCACAGTGCCCAGCTTCTAATGGGTATTCTTAACAGTGGGCTACAGAGTGGTAGTTCTAATGTCACCCCTTCTGTTCTATTCATTCTATTTCAGCTATTGTCCAGTCTGTTTTGGTTTGTGTGTTGTCTATTTAGCCTATTTGAATGCCATCTGTCTGTCAAATAAACCTCCTTTTTTGTATAGGCCAAATGCTACAAAATGAACAGGGCACTGCCTCTAGATTCTTTGAGAAAGAATTTTATAATTGCTCTTAATATTCTGTACAGGCAAAGGTGGGGGGAGAGCAAAACTCAAGTGTTGTATTTTTTGTCCCTATAAAAGATATTTAAAAGATTTTCATTGACACCTGTAGTGTGCATCTTCACAATTCAGGGAATATATTTAGGAATCAATATGATCCAAACTTTAAATAATCTCTTCTCTCTTTGGAATTCTCTGGAATGGTTGGCTATTTCCAATTCTGCTTAGGTTTGCTCCTTCCAGACATTTTCCATATTCTTCCTCTGGAAATGTAAGGCTATGGATAGGAAGTTTCTGACTGTAAGACCTTAGAGAAGTTACTTTAATTTTTGAACCTCATTTCCTCAACTTTAAAATAAGGATAATAAAATTTGTGAAATCCAATAGAATATTAACTTCTTAGTGTATGTCCATATTAGTAAGACTCATTGATGGCAAATATTGTATAGGATAATTATAATAATGATATCAACATTAGTAAAAACACATAAGATGAATTTTGATATGAAAAGTTACTAGAACATGTAACATGTAGTTTGTATTTTAATTAAAAAATGAAAAGCAATGAAAAATGAAAAAGTTCCATGTCAGAATCACATTGGTATTTTTCTACCTTCTAAGCTTTGCCATTGGTAAAAGATTGCTAGTGTCAAACCAAAGTCTACTCACAGAAATTTTTCTCTCTCCATTCTGTCATTAGAGGATGGCCAGAATGGCTGCATAAAATGTCACCTACAATTCATCTCAGTGTCCAAAAGCTATCCTTTCTCAGCCAGAAACAAAATGAAAGAGTTAACAAGAAGAACCTCTTTAATATCCACTTTGTTTAAAAATTTATAAAGAACTTTCCATTTTTGTTTTCTGTCTCACTTGAGCCTTTCTGAAATCTGGGAAGTATGTTTTTTTTTTATCAGTCCTAATTTATAGATAAGAAAATAGGTTCCGAGTAAGTTACTAGTTTTCAGGACTCGACAATGGGTGGAGCCTGGACTTGAATCTTAATCTTCTGATGAAAGAAAAATAAGCAAATCCTCATGTTCTTTCCAGCACATCATGAAAGCTGGCTGTAGCGGGAAGTCACATAGAACTGGGTTTGAATTATGGCTCAACTTCCTAGTGGCTATGATTTTATCACGTTAAGCTTGAGTTCCTCCTCTGTAAATAAGAGTGCTAATCCCTTCAGCATGTGTTAGATGTGAGAATTTAGCCATGAAGTGTGTGTACAGTGCAAGCCCATGCCGAGAATGTCCTTTAAGGCATTCTGCCTCCTTGAACTTTAAAATATTTTCTATGTAGCCTTTGGTTCTCTGGGCAAATTCCAAGTGCACCATTTGCTCAGACATTTATCCCAACCACCCTTCTTTCTTTAGAAAAAAAAAAAAAGACCAGTTATTCATAGTCATTCCTTATTCCTTCTCCTCAAGGCTATTTTCTTGACAAACCCCATTAGAGAATAAGCTTGGTAGGTTCCCAGAAACACTGATTTGATGATGGATGGTCTGTCTTCATCCTGGATGAAGAACACTCTGGCCTACATATTTCCTTGCACATAATAAAGAACAGTGATTCATCTGTGGGCAAAGTAGGTGTCATCTGCTCAACATGTAGAAGGGGCCGAGGGGTCTGCTAAACCCTGCGGCCAGTAAACCAGCAGAATGACCTCAGTTAATCCTCCTTCCTCATTAAAGACAGTTGTAGATGATCCCAGATTGGGCTGACACATTCCTTGGCTGTTGAGGAACTAATGAATTTCATAGAAACAGGGAAAACAGGCATAAATAGTGAAGAGGCCATGAGAAAGGCATTTCAAAGCTGTTGGAATCCGTCTCCAAAGTCAACAAAGCTCGGCTTTTCCTCAGAACCATTCTGTTCCTATGAGAAAGGTCCCAATCTCTGGGGAGTCTCTCAGCAGCTGAGTTTATGACACATCATCGGTCATCACGAACTCAGCATTTGTTTCTTTAGCAATGGGTTTTCTATCTGCTCAGGTTTTCGTTTTAATTTTTATTTTTTGGGTTTTGTTTGGAACCCATAGCTACTCTCACAGTTCTGGTATGAATACACAGACTTGAAGTTCTGTCAATAACCTTTTAATCTTTTATCCAGATTTTTCCCTAAATAATCCATCTCAGCCTTCATGATGTCCTCCTCTGGTTGAACCTTGGTAGATGCTGGCTGGAGCAGAAAGCCTTTTCCTGCCCTTGGGATTCAGAGCAGGATCTCAGCTTTCCTAGGGATCCAACATCAACCTCTAGGCTTGTCTTGCTCCATGCCTTTTCCCATCACAATCCTTCCCAACTCCTAACTTTTGCAGAAGATGGGTTCAAAGTCAGAATGACTTGCCCGAGTCCCCAGAGTTTCCCTTGCCTCATAACTCAGCTCCAGCTTTCTTTTCCAAGGAGCACTTTCTGAAATCCAAACTCACATTAGATGGTGGCCTTTCATCTCTTTTCTATTTCCTTTTGAATCCCAACGTTTTAAATTGACATAAAAATTGTACATGTTTATAGGGTAACCTGTGACACTTTGATAAATGTATATCCTGTATAATGTTCAAATCAGGGTAAGCATATCTATGTCCTCAAACATATTTCATTTCTTCATGGTAAAAAGATTAAGGAGCCTTTATTTAACTTTTTTGAAACACACAGTACATTATTGCTATCTCTAGTCACCCTACAGTGCGGTAGCACACAGGAAACTTCTTTCTCCTAACTCTGACTGAGTAGCTGTTGTCTTCCTTTGGATTATTGAGCACTCATTTGTGCTCTCAATTGTAACAATTTATGATATGCTATTCTTTTTTTTTTCTTCCTTTCCTTTCCTTTTCTCTCTTTTCTATTTTACTGGTGTTGAACTATTACCAGTCTTACCTAAAAGATCTTTGAAAAGACTTGTGTCATCCATTCTGGTTTTCCTCTTGGTCCAGCCTCTACTACTCTGCTGGGATCATTTTCATAAATACTTTTATAATCCAGCTAGATCAAGCATTCATTTAAAGCTTTCAAGTGTCTTTTTCTGTCTTTGTTATAATTACTAAATATCCGTTAAACTTCACGTGCTCTAGAATTAAATTGCGTTGGAAACTCAAAAACAAAATAAAACCAAAAGAGAAAGAACAAGAAGGAAAAAAATAAATGAACACACACAAAGAAAATGAAGTCATGGCTTTTGCTATATGGTTACTTCCGGAGAGTGCTAATGTGAATGACAGCTCTTCCCTAGGCACGCTCTGTAATGAAGGGGGGCGGTTTTGTCCACGTGCTTTAGTGTCTGCTCCCTCTTCCCTATTCTGGAAGTCTCTGGCCTTGTTCTTGACTTCATTCTCTCTCACTGAGACACGGCACTGACTTCCTTTCTGCTTGACTATATTTCATTTTCTCCATTCTACCTATAGGCATAAAGAATCTTTCTGAATTACAGTTTCATCAAACCACTCCTCTGCTTAGAAAGGTTCAGTCCTAAACACTACTTTTGAATTAAGTCTCAGTTTTGTGGTCTGGCATTTTAAACCTCTGAATATGTGGCCCCAGTTTGTTTCTATCTTTAACACTCTGAATAACCCCTACTCTCTGTCCTCATCGAACCCCTTACATCTAGCACACAGTGTTTTTCTTGGCCAACCTCCCAACTTTTGCCAGAAAGTCTCACATTTCCCCCCTTTGCAGTTAAATTGCACTTTTCCTTTACTGACCAATTTAACATTAACGTCGCCTTCCCTCCCTGATCACAGTGGGAAGGGATTCTCCTTTCTCTGAATGCCTACATAGCACACTCTAATGGCATGTATCACCTTCCATCTTGCATTGACTTATTTATACATATGCATTCATTTACTGTTGACTCAAAAACAAAAAAACTTTGGGGAAAGTGGTGCAGGTTCTAGTGTCAAAAAAAAAAAGAATATAGTCTTCTGATGAAAATATAATAAGTCTTCAAACAAAAAATGTCTAGTATATCAAATATGATAAGGGATGTTAAATAACCCTGAGAGGCCGGATGAAGATTGGCCTAGATCTGTCCAGAGATCTAGAATTATATTGGAATTCAAGCACTTTCTCAGGAAAGTGCTTGAATTCCAATATAAAATATAGGTAGGTGTGAAGTAGCAGGTGGAGAGACTGTGTGTGCTGAAGGAGTGAGAGAGTGAGGGTTGGTGGAGTAGAAGGAGACAGCACAGTTGGAAAGCCTGGGGTTAGAAAAGAGACAGACACATGAGAAAGTAAGGCATGTTTTGAGGAAAGACAAGTTATTTATTTTGACTAAGCAGGATATTCTGAGCGAGTAGCTACAGAAAAGACTGGTCAGGGGGTCAGGGAATAGATTTTCCCTTGCTAAGGTGTTTGGAGATCATCCTGGTAGCAGTAGGGGACCCCGAAGGCTTTTGATTAGGGAATTATAAGATTGTGGATTGGACTTGGCAGTGGAGTGCAGGAGGGATCAGGGACACGAAGATACTGCAGGCAACCTCATAGGGGATTGATGTCAGATGCATCTTGGTATTTTCTGATTGTGCTTACTATAGTGCCAGGCACATGGTTTATATACAAATTGTATTATTTGTTCAAGAAATGTAAGAAAATGAGGTGTCCATGTTTAGACTAGAACACAAATAGAAAGGGAGGGCTCTTTACAGTTCATACCTCACCTGTATTACTCAGATCACACAGATACAGGGCGTTTTCCAGCTTTCTGAACCTGTCAATCCACGTCTCACATTCTTCAGAGCGGTTCTTCATGGCCCGACTAAGGAAGGGCTGGGAGACTGGCCGGATCTTCAAACTGCTTGGAGGATCATTGGGGGTTGGAGTCTCAGCAGGAGGGTTTCCTGGATTCAGCTTCTCTTCTGGAGTTTTCTACCAAAATAATGCAAGCATCTCACTGGCAGCATACTCACCACCCAGAGCTTCTCCAGTCTCTTGGCCAAAGATGAGGCCACACAACTAGGAAGATTTATTGCAAGGTCTGGCTTTGGAAAGCAAGGATGAGTTTCAAATCCTCACTACCATAGGGCCATATCTGCCAAGTTTTGCTGGATGCAAACATGGTTAAGTTGTTTTTTTTTTTTTAAGAGAAGTTGACATCATCACTTTTATTCAGTTATTAGACTTACACAAAGCAGAGGACTGTGTAAGTAACTGGCTGAGACTTTTCCTTGAGGTTCTATTCTAATAGTGAAGGCAGAATTACACAGGCAGTCGGTATAGATAGGTCAATGGAGTCAGATCAGATCAAGGAGGCCAATGTGAGTGAGTCCAGGAAGTTGGAGACTGCCTCTAGAGGGACTGAAATGTCCTCAGAGCCCTTCCTCCACCCTATGAAGATAACATGCCCCTGCTCCAATATGGTGCTAAGGTAACCTATCTTAGGAATTGTCCCCGCTCCCACATTGAGTTGTAAAAGTTGTTAATTAATGTGTCCTGGGCTGCTCCATCCTGCCCTTCAGCCCACCTGTTTACCACTTTTTGGCCATCCCACCAAGCATTTCCTGGGCCTAGTCACAAACACAGAAAGGATAAAGATAAGGGGAAGGTGGGGCTGGGGATATGGCTCAAGCGGCAGCGCGCTCCCCTGGCATGTGTGCGGCCCGGGTTCAATCCTCAGCACCACATACAAACAGAGATGTTGTGTCCGCTGAGAACTAAAAAATAAATATTAAAATTCTCTCTCCCCCCAAAAAAAAAAATAGATAAGGGGAAGAGAACAGGAGAGCAAAGAAAGCCTAGGACCTATAAAAAAGGAGCAGAAAGTCTTGCTTCTCAGGATAACAGGATGCCAGTTATGGTCCCCTTCTCCCTTCTGGGAGAAGTCTATGTTACCCCTTTTTAATAAACCCCGTTTTATATGCTTGCCTCTGTGTGCTTCTCTAATTTTATACTTCAACATGTGAGGAAGCAGAACTTGTCACCTGTAATTGGATGTATCAATAATACTACTAGTAGGATCTACTGAGGATGGGCAAAGCTTAAATTTTCTTCTGGATTCTGAGTGTGACATTTTTTTGGCAAAAAGTGATTGAAGCAATAGTGATATTATCCTAGGCTCACCGGCCCCCTTGAAGGTCTATTAAAACACCTCTAGTCTGCTGGTCCTGTTCATTTAACACAGGAATCTGAGGTCCATAGAGTGCAAGTAAATTACTGAGATTGCCTAGATCTTAGGGTACACTCAAGACTATAAACAGACATGGAGGTGAGTTAACCTAGGTATCCTAATCCCATGTCCAGTACAAAATAGAGATGTGTTTAGAATGAAATAGACAAATGGATCCAAACATTGCCATTTAAGGCTTCCTAACACCACCTTCCACACAGGGAGAGTTTGATATGACCAGCTCTGTTTTTCCTGGAAATGCTCTCCCGCAAATCCATGTAGTTGTAGAGAGAATTACCACATTTCAGCTGCACAGTTCAGAACTGGGCATCTGGTTCAAAACAGGCAAATAGACCTATTGTCCAGGAGTTTGGGATCTATTTGTGAGAAGGAAAAATAAAGGAAGAAGCACAGATCTTTCTGTGTGAGACCTTAAAACACTAGCAGATTTTCTCCCTGTGCATTAGAAATGAGAAAAAGCTGGTCAGTCAAGAAAGAGAAGATGAAGTTGACAGCAGAGGAAAGAAAAAAATGGGAAGTCTTAACTGTGTTTGAGACCCTGGTTTTCATTTACTGTTGCATTGTTTTCCTTAGGTAATATAATAAACTTCTCTAGCCTTCCAATCAATTAAATTTGTAAAGTTGGTTATGTTCATTGTAATCCAAATAATTCTGATGCACCATAAAATTATACCTCTAATTTCTGAATACCATCTGTGTCCCCTAAACTTTCAAATGCCTGAATTTTTCCAATTTTGTAAGTTTGTCTTAAACTTCCCACATATAAGCTGCAAAAATTCCATACTCCTAAATAATATTTATTGCAATAGGAATTACCAAGTCCTGCATTATAAACAAGATTAAGCTGTTGCAGGGGTATTTAAAGAACCATTTCCTTTGAAATAATAGAACACAATACAAAATTACAGCCACATGGATGACAAGCAGCCAGTAAGTTTTAAGGATTAATTAATATAAAATAACTCTTCTATGACAACATCAGTTTTTGGAAAAGCAGAATGTTTTCATACAGTAGATGACTGATTCTTACGCATTTTTAGAGCTGTGGACACTTCATAAATCTGAAGAAAGATTTAGAAAATCTGCCCAAGTTAATGTACATTTGGTTACATTTTCATGGGTGATTTTGGAGAGATCAAGGTGATCATGGATCTGAAAAATCCAAAAATTCTTTGATGTTAAATAGTTTTATATTTCTCTAGAGAGTTCAATTCTCTTTGGCCACTAAAGAAAAAGGAAAGTGGAGATTTGTATGGATCTGAATTAAGCTCAAGTAACTAACTAATAACTAACAAGTAACTAACTAACTAATAACTAACAACTAACTAGCTAACTAACAAACCAACATGCCCTATATCATTCTCATCCCATTGTGTCAGGATTCCCTGCTTTTGTCTCTCTACAGTGTTGGCCCCTCCTCCCCCAGAGGTATGTTGATGAATTCTCAAGGTCCTGGAGTGCCTGACACGGAGTAGGTTCTCAAGGCATGTTTGATGACTGAATAAGTGAGGGAATGAATGAATGATTTTTCTCTAGGAAAATAGAAAAGTTGCTTTACCAACTCTGTGCTTTAGTTCTTCTTCTTTAAAAAGTGGGACAACGAATGCTGCTCATACAAGAATGTGAGAAGAATCAATTATTTCAGAGATGCAATAAAATCCTCAAACAAGAGGCAAAATAAAAGAGCAAAATATATTTTTTACAACCTTATTCACAACAGACTTAACACTCAAGGAGAAAAGCATTTGCTGTTGTTTCCTGCATGGCAAGAGACTTGCCAAAATGATACTGTTTTCTAAAATATTTCAACGTGTGAAGTGCATGAAGAGGCCTCCCGTCATTTTAAGATGAATTATGTTCTAATCCGGGCATTTAAAAAACAACAACAATAGAAAAACTCAGGCTGTTTTTCAATTCTACATCTCCTGGCTAAATGCTGGGAATATTAAAATGGATTTTAACTGCTTGCCAGATTTTTCTTTTTTTCTTTCTTTCTTTTTTTTTTTTAAATCAGAGAGCCTGCTATATTTTAAAATGTGATGCCTGAGGAAAAGGTCACCGTCAGTTTCTGGAAGCTGGACTTGAGATGTTAAAATAGGTCTCATCTCTACCCTTTGTTTTGATGGCAATTGGCGGATGGGCCACAAGCTTTGGGAGAACTCTTGCACATAGGCAATGGGTGTAATTTCTTGGGGCTGGTGGCAAACTCTTTAACTACTGATGGTGAAGGTTTCTGGCAAACTGGAAAGGAGCTGACCACACTCTTGGGAGTTCCTCTGCCTGAGAAGTCTTGGAGTCAGTCTGACATCAAGAGATTGGGTGGAAATCAGAAACCCACAGGCGAGGCCCCCCCCCCCAACATCAGAGAAGGGAAGATGAGAACCTTCCCCACGCATGCGCATGCTCTGTGTACCCCAGGTGCATACCATATGTTCAGCTTTGGTTTGAGATATCTCAGAGACTTCAGGCTGCTCTGAAATGGCAGGGGCTTCCTTTTCATTCTTTCCTAAACAAGAAACAATAACAGGAAGGGTTTGGTTTGATCTTCATTTAACACACTCACATAGACACCAGGCCAAAAAAAAAAAATACTGAGGCTCTGTGTGTGGCTGGCACTGGGTTAGGTGATGGGAACACATTATGAATGAAAACCTGGTTCCCACCCTGATGCACCTCAGACCAGGAGGGATGCCAAATAATTGCTCAAAATTGTTATTCAACTGCAAGCTACCATAAATAATTCAAAAGACAAATATGGGCACATAAGAAAGCACTTAAACTTATTTTGGAGCAATGGCAGGAGAGGTGGGGGTCAGGGATGGCTTTTTGGAAAAAGTGACACAAATTGTCAACCTGAGGGATGAGTAGATGTCATCTAGGCCAAGGTTGTGCTCATGGTGCCTATGGAGCAGAGAGTTCTATAGCAAGTCTCAACAGCTTGCAGAAAGGCCCCTTAATCAGAAAAGCTGGTCTCCCTTAGGGAGTGGTCGGGGCTTCTTCCCGTGAGCCTGTCTGTTAAGAATCAAGCACTTCCACCACTCTTTCCTTGCAGGTATGCACCTGAAAGGTCAGGCACAGACTTCCCTGCTCCTTTTAATGGCCTCAGCCTTATATAGAATGAGGTGTGAACAGCAACCCTCACTCAGGGCATTCTACTGGGGTACTCCTTGCTGCAGGCTGCTGCCTTCATGAACAGACTTCCTTCAGGTGCCAGAAAGACCTGCTGCTGAGTTCACCAGGGCTTCCTGCAGACACCACGCATTCATCACTCAGCACCTTCCATCTGACTTGGTGACTTGCTTACGTTGCTAATCCCTGTGGTGACCACTCAGCACAGATTTCTGGGAGCCTCAACTTCAACATTCAGTTCATAATTCAACTATGCCATTAAATATGTATTATTTCTGAGTTGGATCTCATTATTTTCAATAAACTTATCCTATGAGTAAATATTAAAGTTAGGAGGAGGCAAATAACACAGGGGTTGAGAGCATGGGCTCTGAGGCCAGATAACCTGGGTTTGAATTCTGGCCCCTTTCTTTATTAGCTGCATGACCTGGGGCAAGCTGCTTGTGCCTCAGCTGCTGCTTCTGTAAAATGGAGGTAATGAGACCTACAGGTTATTGACAGGATTAAATTGGATTACAAAGTGTAAAGCAAGTACCCGGATCATAGCAAGGGATCAATAAAGGCTAAGTAATAGTGCTATCTAGGTAAGGATGTTTTCATAAATCAATTAACAGATCAGATTTAAAACACTTTTGTTAGACTTTTAGCATTGCAACCATGAATCATTATGAGTCTTCTTCAATTTCTTGATGGAGAAGACAATGTAATTTTATATTATTCTCTGAAAGCCCAGACCCCAGCATTAGAATAAGTATCCAAAGCATGCTTGTCGAATAGCAGAATAATCATGTATTCTTTGTTTGGAATTTGGAAAAGAGTGTGACATATATATCAGGATACACACACACACACACACACACACACACACACATACATATATATACACACACACACATACACACACACACATATATATATATATATATACACATATAATTTGTGTATGTATTCTTTATTTGTTTAGTTCTCCAATTCCTTTCTGATCCTTGAAGAGGATCAGAATTTTCTCGTATTTTTTCACTCTCCCATACCTAATGTGGAAGCCATATAAGGTAAGCCTTAATAGAAATTTAGCAAGCATCATGATGGTAGCCAGTAAGGGCAGCACCTTCGAGGCAGATCTTATTTGGTCTGTTGAAAATTTAAGTTGTCATGGGAACCCATCATCACCTAGTACACTGGCCCCAGCTCATTTCACCCAGAATATGAAAGAAAAGCTTTCTGTTTATTGCAGGGCAATATAATTACTCCAAATCGTGGAGTTAGCTGGTTAAAGAGATTCTAGAAGCTGTATATAGCATGAGCAGGCAGGAATATGAATTTCAGGGTTAGACAAACCTAAACATCAACCCTGATTTTTTTCCTTTACCAGCTATAAGATTTCAGATCAGTTCTTTCATTTGTGAAATTATAGTCATTGTGAGATAGAAACTATTTACATAAAATATTAACCCATTGAAAATGCTCAAAATACTGGGTCTTATTTGTTGTTGTGTTATTCCTGGCTTTAAGCCAATCTAATTCCCCCAGAGAAGAGGACCTATTATTGATTACAATATACCAGAACTTATTCTGGAAATAGATCATTGAATTGTCTTCTTAAAGAATAAGCTCTAGAACCTCAACTTTGTCCCAGTATGATTCTTCTCTTCTGTCTGCACTTTTCAAAATTTCCATTAAGAGAAAATACATGCTCCTCTACTTGGTTTCTTTTTAAGCTTCCCCTTTTCCTCCCTTATAGCTAATAGCATATAAAAAGGTAATGGTTTGCATATGTAAAAATTGTTTGAAAGGCCTGAGGCAGAGCTCTATTTTTTTCCCTTTCCTTTTTCTTTTTTTTTTTTTAACACAGCAGGAAGGATAAATAATAACCATCTGTCTAGTCTGCCAGTTGAAGATTTGTATTGGAGGAAATAAGCCAAGCTGGCTTCTAGAGATTTCCAGGTGTGGGAAGGGCCAGGTTTTACAGGGCTTCCAGTGGATTCTGATGGTTACACAGCCAGCCCTCCTGTCTGCCCCCACTAATGACTTGAAATTAGTGGTCTTCAGAAATGGCTGCATGTTAGAACCACCTGGGGAGCTTTAAAACTTACTAGTGCTCAGGTGTCACACCAGACCAATTAAATCACAAATGTTGGGGGTTGCGTTGTTGGGGGTTGGAGGGGCCCCCTTTCGGCGTTTAAAAAAAAAATCCCCTAGATGATTCTAAAGTGAAACCAGGGTAGAGGATAACTGATTTAAAACAAAGGCTATTGGCCTCACTGGATTTACTGAGTGAAGATTTTGTGAGAAGGAAGCTAATATGGGTCAAATATCTATAAAGGACAGATATTTCCCATATTATCTAAAGAATAACCTGTGAGGTAGAAATCATCCCCATTTGACAGACCAAGTGTAGATGAAGGCCTGTGTTTCCAACTCATTCATTCATTCTGAGAATATGTGTTAGGTGCTTTCTAAAGGCTGGGCATTGTCCTAGGTACTATGTCACAACACTGACCAGGAAAGAGTCCTTTCAAAGTGAGTGCATTCTTGTAGTGAAGGCAAACAGACACAAAAAACAATGCCAGGTCTGATTTAAGTGCTGTAAACATGATGTCAGTTATGGGGGTGGCAATTACTAACTTCATAAGGAATTCACCCAAGGCCTTTGAAGAGGTGATAATTAAGTAGAACCCTGAGCAGAGGGGAGTCAAGGGAGCAAGTAAGAAAAATATCTGGGGAAAGTGCATTTGAGGAAAATGTTACAGCAAATACAAAGGCTTAGAGGCAAGAGTGCTTAGACAGAATAAGAAGGGAAGGAAAGTGGGTTAAGTGTTCATGGAACTAAAGGGTATCATGGGCCATGTCATGTGACTGAAGTTTTATTTTATTTTTTCTTTCCAGCATTCATTTCTTCCCTGGTGATTCTCCCTTTACTACCTCCTCTGGCAAAAGCAACTGTATTTTGTTTTGTGGGGCTCACTCTTCCCTCTTTATAGTGCATTGTGGTTTAGTAGGGTTGACCTCCAGTTCCAATTCTAAGCTTGGTCTCTGACTAATTTAAGTTTGCCATTGTACCCTCATATCCCTCATATCAATTTTGGTTCTAAGATGGGCATAAAACTCAATCTGAGCTTCTGGGTTGAGAGAAGATAACTGCTGCTTAGATGGTAAAGGTTCCTCCACCTTGGCAGCAAAATAGTGCTGGGTCATAGCAACCTTAGCTTTTCTGTTATTGTGAAAGGAGTGCTTGGAGTAGTCAGGGGAGTGTCACGTGAAGCCCAAAGATGATGATGCCCACACCAGGTAAAGCAGAACAGAGAACCCAAAGAAGGAAAGCACATTGCTAATTTGGACATTTGAATGGCTAGATCAAAGATCTTGCTGCTATGAGACATTTCAGCCAAGTAATCCACTATATCTTTATTGTCTAAACCAAGTGAGTTGGCTTTTATATCCCTTTAATGTAAATAGTTCTAACTAGTTATTACATGGATTTCTTTCCTTAATAAAACAGAGGCCAATTTGTCACCATTTTTATGTTTTCTGTCTATAGTGATAGGTTTTTATGAATGTTGGAGGGAACTCAATGAACCTTTGTGGCTACTTTTCATTCCCTCCAAATTTTCCCCTCCAAGTTTTTTCAGTTCTACTCCTTGCTTACATATTCTCCTTCTTTGCTTCCTCACTCAGTCTCTGAAATGAGGAGATTCAAATTTGGAGCCATATGTAATTTTGGGGAAATAGCTTTGATCTTAGACCATACCATGTTTGGTGGATCCTAAACTCTTTTTTTTTTTCTTTCTTAATGGGAGTTCATAGCAGTTCTTGGATCTGTGGCTTGAGATCTTTCATCACTTTTGGAAATTTCTTCTAATTTCCTCAAGTATTGCTTTAGCTCTATTCTCTTCCTCTTGTACTTCTATGATTTCAGTTACATGTATGTTGGATAGTGTCACCATTCCCTAGATATCTCTTACATATTTTTTTCATATATTCCATCTTTATTTCTTATTGATACTTTAATTTGGATATTTTCTACTGAGCTATATTTTAGTTAACTAACCTCTCTTCAGCTTTGTCCAATCTTCTCTTAATCTCATGAAGTTTTAAAAATATAGTTTTGATATTTTTCAGTTTATAGAGTCCTTTCAATTCCTTTTGTCGGTTCTAAAATGCTTTGTTGAAAATTCTCCATTTTTCATTCATTTTCTTGAACATAATTAATTACAGTTATTTCAAAATCTATTTTCTGCTTGCATTGTTACTGATATTTTTAAATAGAAACTAAAAACTCCATATGAAACACACAGAGCTTTTGTGTGATGTTTCTTCTTGATTCCTACAAAGGATCAAGAGGACCTTTTCTTCCTTCTGTTTGGTAGTTTAATTTGAATTCCAAATAAAAGGCTTCATACAAATATTCTTATGTATTTTTATTTAATCTTTAGTTGTTCTTGCCAAGAGATTTGGTTAGCTGATAATTAATCTAATCTTGTCATTAGTGCAATTCACTGATATCAAGTATTTATGTGAAAATCATAGATGTACATTAAAGAATAAGGGTGCAGGATTTTTATGATTACAAAGGAGATGAAGTTTATAATAAAAGGCAGCATATATAAAATGAGTCATTTTGATCAAGTTATCATAGCATCTTTGAGTCAAAAGAAGAAAATGCACAATTTTATATACACCTAATGAGTAAGTTTCTTTTTTGTATGATCCTCTTCCCTTTTAAAACATTTGCTCCTGGGCAAGAGAACAGACAAATAAAATGGCTCACTCAGTACTTCAGAACACTTAACTACCTTAGTCCTAGTGATATAGAAATGGGAAGCTACCAAGATATTAACTTAGTAGGCAGTAAACTATCATACAAAGTGACAACAGTAACATCACCTCAACAACCTTGTTGCTCTGGAGAGTCTTACATTGACTAAAAGGTTAGTGAAGCTGGCATGTGCCTGTAATTGTAGTGGCTCAGGAGGCTGGGCAACAGGATTGTAAATTCGAAGCCAGCCTCAGCAACTTAGCAAGGCCCTGAGCCCCGTCTCTAAATAAAAACACGAAAAAGGCTGGGGATATGGCTCAGTGGTTAAGTACTCCTGGGTTCAATTCCCAGTACCAGAAAAAAAAATGATATATTGACTATTTTGTTTATCAGACTCACAATCACTCTATCAGATCAACAGAACAGGTTTTCTTTCTTCCCTGCCCTTTTCCTTACTTTCCTCCCTTTTCTCTCTCTCCTTCCCTTCCTTCCTTCTTTCTTAATTTCTCTTTCTCAGCTTTAGAGATGAAAAAAAAAATAAATTGGAGTGAAGTCAAATAAGTGATCCACACAAGGTGATTTAGTTGCAAAAGTGATACTTCAACCTGTATTCTACATACTGTCCAGCTGTGCTATGTGCTATGAGCTAAATTATGTTACCCAACATTTATGTATTGAAGTCCTAATGCCCAGTACTTTGGAATGTGACTGTGTTTGGAGACAGTGTCTTTAAAGAGTTGAATAAATTTAAATGAGACTGTTAAGGTAGGTCCCAATCTAATCTGACTGGGTATTCTTATGAGAAGAGGAAATCTGTACGCCGAGAGACACCAGGGATGCACCCACACAGAGGAAAGGCCATGTGTGGAGACAGCAAGAATCTGTCCAGAAATGGGGCATGGTTTTAAATATTCTGAGCACTAGCTACAGTGTGAAACCTCAGAGGTTAGGTTAACAGCCACAGGCATCCCTTCAGTAGCTTCTGTATCCCTTCAGTAGACTATATATATTGACTATATAATAGTTTTTTTTCTTTGAATTGTTTTTAATAAATAATCAAGTAGTTTGTAGAACAACAGGTATACTAACCCTAGATTAAACACAAGGAAACAAAGTGTTTTATAAGAGATTCGAGCACAGCCACCTTCTTAGAGGTCTGAACTCCAAACCAAGTGAAACTTTTTAGAACCAGCTGTGTGTCACCTCTGAAATCCTTTCTCCAGGTTACTTGGCATTTTCTTAGATCCTGTGTAGTGGCACTAGCTCCTAGATTTTGATGTAGTGTGCATTTCTCTTTGTTCTTTCAGCCTGAAGGGTGAAGTTGCTTTCTACAGTTACTAAGGTTGGGATTACCTCATTGTGGTGGATTGAATTTGTCCCCAAAGATATATCCATGTCCTCTCCACCCGTACCTGTGAATCTGCCTTTAGTTGAAAATAGCCTTTGTGAATATAAACAAGTTGAAATCATTTGAGATTAGTGTAGGCCTGAAATTCAATGACTGGTGTCTTTATAAGAGAAAAAAGAGGGATATTTGGATACAGAGACCTAGAGGTGAAATGAACAAAGCCATGTAAAGACATGGACCAAAATTGGAGTTACACAGTAACAAGTCAAGAGAGGCCTGGGACCACTGGAAATTGAAAGGGGCAAGAAAAGACTCTTTCCTAGAATCTATGGAGAGGGCATGGGTCTAATAACACCTTAGTGCTCTAGTCTTCAGAACTAAGTGAGAAGATATATCTGTTTTTTTCTGTAATTTATTACAGCAGCTTGGAAAAATGAATGCATTCATCATTCCCTTTTTTATTCTTTCAGCCTTGTGATATTCATATAACCAATCCCCTGTAATGAATCCCTCTGATTGAAATACTGGTTAATTTTCTGCTTTTCTACTTGGATGCAGACTGATATATCCATTCTCTAACACGTTACACCTCTCTCTCTCTCTCTCTCTCTCTCTCTCTCTCTCTCTCTCTCTCTCTCTCCCTTATATTTTGATTCAAAGGGTAGTCTGTAAGTATTTGATGGTTGTAGTAAATAGAAAAACTACAACAATGGATTGATATCAATGTAAATTTTTTTACCTGTCATATTTAAAACTTGCAAATTGCTAAATATTTTGCCCAATTCATCTTGATAAATTCACTTAGTAATATGTCTTAGAAATCTTCCTTTAGCTGTTTGGTCATGTAATTTTACAACTACTTAATTTTACCAATTGGTTGTATTGTGATCTAATTAAATGGTTCCTAAAGGATCATTTCACTTTTTCCATTGAAAAAAATTACCAAAAAACACTGTACTAGATACACACACACACACACACACACACACATATGTACACACACACATACAAATATATATCTTGAAATTTTTTTAGTGAGACAAGTAGAATAAATACCTGGTAGCAGGATTCCTCGATCAAAGGTACTATGCCACTGATATTTAATAATACCAACTGATTCTGTAAGTATGCTACACTCAGCTTAAAGGGCTACCATTAGAGTATGCCTTGTGATAAAACTTGGAGAATTATTTCTTTTATAATCCAACTTGCCTAAAAGAATATGCATTAAGTTAATTCCCATTCCTATTTTTCCTTCACTGGTGAGCCTTCTACATTTCTGGGAGGAATGAAACCAAGCCCAGAGAGTAAACCACTCATGCTAAGCAGCATTATTAACAATAGTGCTGGGAAATGGGAAGTCTCTCAGGAGCCACAAAATTGTGGAACTTACCTGGAGGCAAACCAGACAACAAATCAGAAGAAGCTCTGCTCAGCAACTCAACAAAATTCTGCCATCTGTGTAAGAAAAAGAAACATAATATTGCTGATCAATATCATTGCCCTGAAAGAATATGCAGCAAAGCACTAGATTTATGCTGGTTGGTAGAGTGATGTTGAAAGAACTTTTTGATACCTGTGTCATTCCTAGTTCAATGTAAGAAATAAAGGCTAGGATATCATAGATTGGTACTAAGAATTGGGTCAGGACTCAGAAAATGTGGTTCAAAGATCCAGGAACCACAGGACAATCTAGCTGATGTCTCAGTTGCTGCTAGTCATGAAGTTGGTGACTGTGGTACCAGGTGCATTCTGGCCACTGGAAAAACTATGTTGATATTGGTATAAGAAAGTAAATACCTAAACTGTTTCTGCACCACTATGCCATAGTCTGGCTGGGCACAAATCACGAGCTATTCAAGCAGGAACAAACTTTATTTCCGATCTCCCGCAAACGCCACCCACGCGGCCCTTCTAGGAACACCACACACCAACCAGAACTCCCTCCACCGGAACTTCACCAACCAGCGCCAACTCCCCAGGAATCCCCAAGAAAACTCCAAAGTAGCGGGCACCTGAGGTGGACAGCAGGGGTCTATAGACAATTGAATACACAGCTTAATTTAATTATCATAATCTTAATGGCTCGCCTCTCAACCATTACTTCTGGCAAAATGCCAGGGGCCATTCTGACTCAGCTGTGGCTCTCAGCACCACTATCCTTCCTCCCCCTTTTCTGCCTCTCAAATTTTATCTAATAGCATTTCATTAATAAGTTAAATCAATTTTGAAATCTTTGTGTCAAGGGGGTTCCAGAAATTTCCTTTTGGCCTTCAGGATTATGGAAGAACTGCAACACAGAAGAGGATGGAGAAAGGTGTTAGGGGAGAGATAAAGGGGACAGATAAAGATTATCTAGTAGGTGATATTTAGTAAATTGCCCAAGATAAAATTGCACTGGGCAATATGTCTGTAAATGTCCATCAAGTAGTTACTAAAAGCTTAAAAGTATTCCAGCAAAGCTTTGGCAAAAGAGACCACTAATATGTGTTTGCTGTTATGGTTTCGATATGTGGTGCCCCCTGCCCCACAAAAGCTCATGTGTGAGACAATGCAAGAAGGCTTAGAGGTGAAATGATTGGGTTATGAAAATCTTAACCCTATTAGTGAATTAATTCTCTGATAGGAATTAACTTGGTGGTAACTGTAGGCGGGTAGGGTGTGGCTGGAAGAGGTTGGTTCCTGGGGGCTTGCCTTTGGGGTATATATTTTGTCATTGTTAAATGGAGCTCTCTCCCTTTCTGTTCTCTGGCACCACTTTCCCAGCTACTTTTCTCTGCTACAAACTTTTTCCATGATGCTCTACTTCATCCCAGGTCCTGAGTAATGAAGTTAACAATCATGACCTGAGACCTCTGAAATAGTCAGTCCCCCTAAACCTTTTTGTTCTTGTTCTTTCAGAATTTTGGCCACAATAACCAAAAAGTTGGCTAAAACATTTGCCTAATACCACCCTCTATTTACATATAAATATGCTCTTCTCTGGAGTAATAAGCACCCACTTTCCTGCACATATTATAGTTAGGACTATATTTAAAGTCTCATATCCTGCTTCAGCCAGTGTTCAGACCCACCTTTTCTAATTAATCTCAATCTATCACTTACACTATAACCTCCCTTCTCTCCTCTCTTTTTTTCCCCCCTCTGTCTCAATCTCTGTCATAAATTTTTGGTTTTGGTCCTTCTTGAAGGTTTAGTTTTTCTTCAGTTTTCTGAATTACTTAACATTCTTTAAAAATAGTCATTTTTTTTTTTTTGCTAGTGTTAGCAAAAGACAGGTTTTCTTGCTAGGTACCAAACTGCAAATAATACTAATTTTTATCTTTGTCTTGCCTATCATAAGAAGTTCAGCAAAAATAAAGAGGGAGTTTTGAAATACTTGTTCTGGGTTTTCTTAAAGAGTTCTAATGTCATGTGATTTTATTCTATTTATATAAAAATGATTTCTTAAATATGTACCTAATTCATTTTGCTTTCCATCATAAAACTTTTTCTATACACAATATCATGAGTCAGAAACATTCTTTGGTCAATATATGTGCTCTGATACGAGTTTTAGAAACGTGTCCTTCAGAGCTTCACGTCAGGTGTGGTGTGCAGCGTGGCAAGTCAGATAGGCTGTTGACTTTATCAGCTGCTACAGGTCTAGGAAGGTAAAAGAAAACTGGAAAAGAAGTAGCACTCTCTAACACTGATAATCATATAGAGATATGACATTAGCACAGTTTTGGAAATAAATTGCAAAGAAGCATTTCCTGTTATCTGCTCTCCTTATAATGGCTTTCTAGATCCTCTTAGGAAGTCTAGGCTTATGCCAAGAGCATCTTCCCATCCTTTGATAACAAAGCTCAACAACCCAATGCCTAGGTCCATTAATACTCGCACACATCCTATGGTTCTCAGGGTTGTTGGGAGCTATCAGGTAGTGATCTTCTAGATGTCATATATGAGGTAAGGTCCTTGGATAAAATGGCACCACAAATTCTCTTGCTCCTTCTTAATCATATGCTAAGAGTGGGGTAAGAAGATTTGGGGAAATTTTCAAAGTACTGAAGTTGAGCATCGTCTTATTTAAATGACATATAAAGACTTATGTGATTACTAACATTCTAAAGAGCCTTACAGTAAAATATTCCCTTTCTCTCCATTTTTTTCCATTACTCCAAGACCTTCAAAGAGATACTCATGATATAAATGGGTTTATGGGTTCCACTGTCAGGAGGAGTGACAGTGTCAAGTCCCCACTGATAGTGTCAAGTCAGAGAGGTTGGGACTGGAGAATAAGGCCTGTGAGCTTAGTTCTAGATTCAGGTAAACATAAGCTCAAACTCTAAGTGAGTTTGTCAAGTTAACAACAGCGTTTAGCGAGTGATCCAAGTACTTTCAGTTCATTATTTCATTCAATGGAGATAGCCATCCTATGAGATAAGTAAAGGACTTGACCAAGAACACATGGATCGCAGGGGCATCCAGGATCACACCCTGGCTGTCTGACTCCAAATCCACATGGATTTATGCAATTTGGCTTCAGTTACATGTTTTTACTCTTTGAAATTCCATGGGTATGGCTTTAGTATTTTCTAAAATTTATTATTGCAGAAGTCTATCTGAAGTTGGCCAGATTTTTGTCCATTGATAATTATATTTTTCCCATTATTTGCTGTAGTTTAGTTTTATTCTGTTTTTGGCCAGGATCTTTGACTTATTTTCTTTGTCTTAATAATACAAAAGTTTTATTGGGATAGACATCGGTACATTTGTTTTTTCCCCCATAATTAGCTGAGATCATGGTGAGACCTTCAACCTGTATACTTTTTTTTTTTTCCCCCGGCAGTTTTCAAAATTTTTCACTTGTGGTCATGGTTTGAGTGGGTCCCCCAAGGATTTGTATGCTGGAAGCTGGGTCCTCAGTGTGGAGGTGCTGAAGCAGTAGAACTCTAAGGAGTGGAGCTTAGTGGAAGGGGATTAGGTTAACTGGGGGCATCTCCTTTGGAAGTGATGTATAGCTCTGGGAATCTGGTTAATTTCCTCGAGAGTGTGTTGTTCTAAGACTGTCCTCCTCACTCCTTGACCTTTGTTCTCACCATGTGAGCTCTTGCTTTCACAAATATTCCCACAATAATGCCATCTGCTATGATACAGCTAAGAGCCCCCCTCCCACACATACACACACCAGAGGCCCAATGGACGAGGCTGTCTGATCTTGAACTTTCACCTTCTAATACTGCTGGCTCACTAAGCCATTTTTCTTTATGAAGTACCCAATTCAGATATTTTGTGATAGCAACAGAAAATGAACTAATGTAATTGAGAGTTTCATTTTTATTTTTTCTCCAATTTTTTTTTAATTCCCTTTTCCACAATACCAAGTCCTCTTAGGTTGCATCTCTATTATTATCATTTTATATCTACTATTCTCTCTCATTTCCTTCTCTGTTCTTTTTCTTCCCTACCTTTTGCAGAAGTCCCTTAAGTTTGATATTACATATTTTCCTCTAGTGTTAATTTCACTTCTTATTGATTCCTGGTTACCTTTTACTTTGCCTAGAGAAGCTTTAGCTTCCTTGATACCATCTGTATTTCCTCAAATTCTTTCTAATTTCTTCTGTTCCTTTTTTGTGCTTTTTAAATTTGATTTTTATAGATTTAAAAAATCTCATTATACTTATTACTTTGTAATTCAATTCTCTAGAGGCAACGGCTCCTTATATACTGCATAGAATCACTGTGCTTTCCTAAATTATTTTTCTAATTTCTAGAGTAGATCATTTTCTAAGCTTTGTTGAGATTTGGAGCCTGCAGGATGATGATTCTTTTTCACATTCTGCTGTATTTTCTTAAATGTTGGTGTTTTTTCGTTACTGGGCTTCGAATAAGGATCTCCTCACATTCACTGTGGCCCACAGTTAAGCTGCCTTGCTTTCCTGTGACTGTGTTCCTTGCTCACTTGAACCTCCAGTCAAGGATAGATGGCAACCCTATTCGGTATTGATTTCTCTTAGTCATTCGCCTCATGCACCTTGGTAGAATGGAGGTGGGATCTTTTCACCACATTCGTTGGGTACCAGACACTTCAGATTGATGCAGTATGTTGTATTTTATATACCTATTAGTGTAAACAACTACCAGCGGTCTCCCTTTCTCCATTCTAACCTCCATGAAATAATTTTCAGGAATTATACTTCACCATGTGCAAACACCATACGTCACCTGGGTTTCTCTTCCCTCTTTGCTCATCTTAACTTTTTGCTCTGTCATTTTGGGGAGTCATACAGGATATAACCGCATCTCTGAATAGGTACAGAAAAGTGATGTGGGGGTAAATACACAGGTGTGTTTCTTTGGGCTGGGAAGGGAGGGGGAAAGAGAAGCAGGGAACAGAAGAACTCAGACTGCTACTATAAACAGCACCTTTGCAATTTTCTAGTTGGCTAAGACTTATGGTCTCCAAACCAAAG